ACACTCAGAATAGTGAAGTTCAGAGTAACTTCCATGTGGCTGGAGAGAAAGCAGATAGGGAGGAAGGAGCCAAACTTTGAAGTCAGATCTGGAGCCAAGCACTGGTTCTGCCACTGGCTCGTGGAAATCCTTGGGCACATTCCTTGACCTCTTTGAGGCTCAATTTATTCATTCTTTCAAAATGATTATAATAATGCCTTCCTGGGGTGCTTGCCTGGCTCGGTTAGAAGAACATGTGACTCTTGATCTAGGGGTCATGAGTTTGAGCCCCACGTTGAGTGTGGAGATTACTTAAATACATAAAATGTTTTAAAAAGTGCCTTCCTGTTAGGAGACCCTGGGCTGCAAACAGCAGAAAGCTCAATTAAACTGGCTTAATCAAAAGGCTGTATTATTTTTTTTTAATTTTATTTATTTTGACAGAGAGAGAGAGAGTGCGAGCAGGGGAGGGGCAGAGAGAGGAGAGAGAGAGAATCCTAAGCAGGCTCCATGCTGTTAGTGCAGAGCCCCACATAGGGCTCAAACTCACAAACTGTGAGACATGATCTGAGCCGAAACCAAGCCACTCAGGTGCCCCAAAAGGTTGTTATTTTTTAATTTTACATGGTAAAAGGTCCAAAGACAGAGCATCATGGTTCTCAGTTGGAAACAAGAGAATGGATTTTTTTGGTTGTCACATTCCTGGGGCTGCTAGTGGCATTTTGAGGAGAGAGGTCATGAATGTTAAAGGTCTTAAAATGTTGGCTGCAAATCATCACAGCAAAGACTCGCCTGTTCAAAAAGTGAAGAGCCTCCCTATTGAGAAACATCAACTTATCAGCTCAGTCACAGAATCACAAAATGGCTCTTCCGTTTCTCCGAACAAGAAGGTCGAGGGGAGGGGCGCCTGGGTGGCTCAGTCGGTTAAGCGTCTGACTTCAGTTCAGGTCATGATCCCACGGTTTGTGAGTTCGAGCCCCACGTTGGGCTCTGTGCTGACAGCTCAGAGCCTGGAGCCTGTTTCAAATTCTGTGTCTCCCTCTCTCTCTAACCCTCCCCTGCTCAGACTGTCTCTATCTCTCTCTAAAAAATAAATAAAACATTAAAAAAAAAAAAAAAAGAAGGTCGAGAGGGTAAATGAAGGGCCTCCCCCCAGAGCTGATGGAGGCTGCAGGGAGCCAGGCGGAAGTGGTAGACTGGGACCAGTCATGCACTCCTACGGTTTCGTATGCTCCTTAGAACAGTATCACGTATACCAAGAACTGAAGTTTTCACACATTTGTTTATGCTTATCATGATTGGTATTTACAGTCATCCAAAGTCAAATGAGAAACATGCCTAACTGTAAGTGAAATGACTTAAACATCGCAGAAAACTCATATGAGAATAAAAAGTTAACATACTAAAACCTGAAGTGTTAATAGATAGGAAGTTAACTTGATTCTAGTGGGCTCATTAACATGCAATGTTTAAGTGACTCCGTTAATTTCAGAAAAAAATTGGTTGAGTATTAGGCCAAACAGCTCTGGGAAACTTACAAATTACAAATTACACACTTAGAATATATTATGCAAATCAGGTTAAAACATGGATGATCAGAAGCAGGAGTAAAACTCATTGAAATAGAGAAGCCAAAGAAATTCAAAATAAAAATAGAGACATCCATCCTTAAGGCTTTTTTATTAACTCCTCATCCCTTTGTTATAAGAAGGAAGGCCCCTTCTGACTTGGTGATTTTATTTTTTAAGCCAAAACCAATATGACTTATCTCCAGTGGGGTCCCAGAGAGGGCTGAAGTGGGGTTCAGACAGTGGAGCTGTGCCATGAACATGTGAGTCCAAATCCTGGCCCAGCAGATTCTGTCCTGGATAACCAGAGCAATCCAGTGAGCCTTTGTAGGCCTCCCGGTCTCCACACTTGGGGTAATGTAGCCATCCCATCAGGCTGTGTGAGGTTGTGCAATGCTGTGAGCAGTGTTTAGCACACGATGATTCACAAGCACTGGCTGTACTAGATATCAATCTATCCCTCCCTTCTCTGGGTGGCTGAATGACTTTGGTTAAGCAGGTCATTTGAATCTCACTTGGCTTTATTTTTTCCACTTTTGAAGCAAGTCAGTTGTACTCAGACCTCTTAGACTCTGCTAGAAGGCACACATGAGAAAGAAAAATGAACCAGGCAAGCAGGGTAATGTTTTTTTCAAATTAATTGCAAGTTCATCCCATCACCATATTTCAATTGTGCTGAAAAATGCAGCCTAAGGCAGTACAGAATTTGATCCTTTCAGGTTAGAAGGCATTTTTCTAGGAAGTTTCCATGGCTGCATTTAAGCCTCTGAAAACCCACTGTGACTTTATCTCAATCAAGTCAATCTCCTTCAAAAAGCTGAAGAAGAGTTAGGGGAAATGTTTCTAAAATGCTTCTGCTCTTTTAAAATACTTTAAAACCTAAGTATTTTTGTAACACTTTAACGTATTATATGTGGTGTCTCTACCCTCTTAGGTTCTGTTTGGGCCTAAGAATTAAACTGGCAAAAGACAGATTTACAAGAGAAAAACATAAAAAGTTTATTTCTCGTTGGTAGTTTCATGTGCACATGGAGGCTTTCATATATAAGAAATGAAGACCCAAAGAAACAGAGAGCTTATGTACCATTTTAACAAAGAAGGATAAGTCAGGGGGATGTGGCAAGACAAAGGAGAAAAGGGTCTGGGCTAAGGGGGTAAACTGTGGGAAAGTGACCCAGAAATACATGGGGGAAACTAGTGGAAGCTAAGGGGTAAACTGTGGGAAAGTGACCCAGAAGTACATGGGGGAAACTAGTGGAAGCTAAGGGGTAAACTGTGGGAAAGTGACCCGGAAGTACATGGGGGAAACTAGTGGAAGCTAAGGGCTATTTTGTAGGTTTGATTGTCCAGATTCAAATTGATGTCAACTCTGTCTCAATGATAAGAATGTTCTCCTTTTCCTGGTACAGGAAATCTATGGCATGCTTTTGGGTAGAAAGGAGAAGGGCAGACAGCCCTTCCTGTATCTGCTTTTTCTCAATTGCCTTCACCTTAAAGCAATCAATGTGTCTGCTACAGTCTGCATGTTTGTGTTCCCTCAAAGTTCCTATGCTGAAATCTAACCTCCAATGTGAAGGTATTAGGAGATTGTGCTTTGGGGGGTAATTGGGTCATGAGGGTAGGGCCCTTATGAATGGGATTAATGCCCTTATGAAAGAGACTCAAGACAGCCCCCCTGCCCCCTCCACCATGTGAACCCTTTCAACCATGTGAGGACATGTGGGAAAGACAGCCATATGGGAAGCAGGCTCTCACTAGATACCAATTCTATTGGAGCCTTGATCTAGGACTTTCTAGCCTCTGGAACTGTGAGAAATAGTTTGCTGCTCATAAGTCTATTTTCTTTTCTTCATTATGGCTTCCTAAACAGACCAAGACAATGCCAAGGTAGCATATTTTGGGGTGATATATTCTGATCACCTTCATAGTTTCATGTTATATTAATACCAACTTATTTACCAACTAGTTTAACCATCAAAAAAGAAAAACAATGGTAATCAAGGAATGATATTATCTTTATTTTTTTAAGTTTATTTACCTATTTTGAGAGAGAGGAGAGGGAGAAAGAGGGAGCAGGGGAGAGGCAGAGAGAGAGGGAGAGTGAGAATCCCAAGCTGGGAGCACAGAGCCCACCCAATGCAGGGCTTGAACTCAAACTGTGAGATCATGACCTGAGATGAGATCAAGAGTTGGACTGACTGAGCCATCCAGGCACCCCTGGTATTACCTTTAAAAGAAAAAAAAAGGGGCGCCTGGGTGGCTTAGTCGGTTAAGCGTCCGACTTTCGCTTAGGTCATGATCTCACGGTTCGTGGGTTCGAGCTCCACGTCGGGCTCTGTGCTGACTGCCCGCTCAGAGCCTGGAGCCTGTTTCTGTCTGTGACTCCCTCTCTCTCTGACCCTCCCCCGCTCACGCTGTCTCTCTCTCTCTCTCTCCTAGAAATAAATAAAATATTAAAAAAAAAAAAAGAAAAGAAAAAAAAAGATTTAATTCTGAGGCACAGTCTCAAGAACTAAGAATCAAAAGAATGTTCTTATTCTAGCTCAGTTCTTGCCTTGAGTAAAAAGTTGGGATAACTTTCTTTTCCTCTTTGAGTGTCAGTTTGCACATCCAAAAAATTTGACTTTTAAACTAGCTAAATTCTTTTGAGTCCTTTCTAATTTTTCCTGTTCTATCATGGTTTTCCTGTTCTATCATGGTTTGGTGGTGGTACTTATTTATTGTTTGTTTGTTTGTTTGTTTATTGAGAGACAGTGCAAGCCTGAGGGGGGAGGGGCAGAGAGAGAGGGAAAGAGAGAATCCCAAGCAGGCCCCGTACCATCAGTGCAGAGCCCGATGAGGGGCTCAGACTCACAAACCAGGAGATCATGACCTGAGCCAAAACCAAGAGTCAGATGCTTAATCAACTGAGCCACCCAGGCGCCCCATAGTTTGGTGGTTTTAAGGTATTTTTTTTTAATTTATTTTATTTTATTTTTATTTCTAGGAGAGAGAGAGACAGCGTGAGCAGAGGAGCGTCAGAGAGAGCGAGACACAGACTCTGAAACAGGCTCCAGGCTCCGAGCTGGCAGTCAGCACAGAGCCCGACGCGGGGCTCGAACCCACGAACCGCGAGATCATGACCNTCACAGTGGTGACCCTACAACCTCCAGGAACAATTACCCTACTGTCTGTCTATTCTGATTACAAAGACAGAGCGAATCAGGGAACGTATTTGAGAGAGTTACACAAATAGATGAATATATTTAAAAAAAGAAATTTTTTTTTTTTATATTTTTATTTATTTCTGAGAGAGAGAGCGTGCGAGAGAGACAGCGTGAGCAGGGGAGGGTCAGAGAAAGAGGGAGTCACAGACTCTGAAAGAGCCTCCAGGCTCTGAGCTGGCAGTCAGCACAGAGCCCGACGCGGGGCTCGAACCCACGAACCGCGAGATCATGACCTAAGCGAAAGTCGGACGCTTAACCGACTAAGCCACCCAGGGGCCCCAGTTTGGTGGTTTTAAAGCACACTTGCAATTTCTCGGACACTCTTCCATCAAAAGGAATCTAATTCCTCTCTCTTTGGACATGTTGGCACTGGTGATTCATTTCTGAGGAAACGAATGCAGAGGAGACACCATGAGGCTTCTGAGGCTAGGCCATAATGTCAGGCAGCGCCTCTGTCTCTCTCTCTAAGCAGAGGTACAAGACGCCCAGAAGCCACTCTGCTGGCCATCACACAGATGCCTGAGAACCACCAGCAGATCCAGCCTGGCTGGTGGATCCTCCCAGGCAGCACACGATCGCAGCTCCAGCCTTCAAGCTGCCACAGCTAGAGCCTTGCTCGCCTTGTAGATTCAAGCAGAAAATAAATGCTGCTGTTATTGTACTAAGCAGCTATGTTTGGGGTGGTTATATGCAGCAGTAGGTAACCAGAACTGATGGTAAAGCTAGGAGCCTCTGAATGCCTGGAGTAAACATTTTAGCCATCGAGGAACATGATACTGGAGTTGGGCTGAACACAGGTCAGTGGGGTGGCCCACATTTTAAGGTTATTTTGCAAGTTGTGTCATTTAATGCTTGACTTCAGGCATCTAGATCCGAGTGTAGAGAAGACATGGGGAAAGTGAGCCTGGGACCAGAGACTACCCACTGTGTCCACCTCATTCAGGAGGCAAGCAAGAGGACCCCAAATGCCCTGTGGCCCCCAAGTGGAGTGCTTACCTCTCCTGCTTCTGAAGTCTTCCCGTGGCTTCTGAGGAACAGCACTCCCCAGTGTTCTCCAGCCCTTCTGGCTGCTCATTCTCTCTCCCTTGGCAAGCTCCTCTTTGTCCTCCTGGCCTTCAAACTCCAGAGTTGCTGACAGCTCAGGCCTGGGCCTTCATCCTCTTCTGAGTTCTAGGCCTATTTCTCTTTCTGTGGTATAATAAAAATATGTATTTAGCCTTTGTCCCCAGTCCTGGCACAGAACTCCTAGAACCCTGGGAATTTCCTGAGTGATAGGAGTATCTTTGCATCACACCTATGTATGCTAATGAGGTGATTTAGGGTAAGGCCCCTAGATGGCCTTAAGATAGCCCAGGGAGGGGGAAGGGGCTGGAGACTGATGTCTACCCAAACTCTTGAACAATAAGCTTCAGAGAGCTTCCAGTTGGTGAACACATTGATGTGCTGGGAGGGTGGTATACCTGGAGAGGGCTGCAAAGCTCTGCACTCCTCTCCCCATATCTTTTTCATTTCACTGTTTCTGAGCTGTATCCTTTATGCAACTAGATAAACTGGTAAATGCAAGCAAAGTGTTTTCCTGTGTTAGGGAGGAAGAAGCACTTTTCCTCTACCCACTTAGGTTTAATGACTGGGGTGTGCAAGTTAAACTGACAAAGACAAATTAGTATGAAAAAAGGTTTATTTCATATGCACATGGGCATTTCACAAGAAAGAAGTGAAAACCTCAAAAGGCTGTTAGGTCAAGAAGCTTATACATCTACCACCTTAACAAAGGGCAATAAATTGTGGAAAAATGACAGAAGGAAAGGTTGTTGGGCTTCTAAGGGCAGTAATTGTCGGAAGGTAAGTATATGAGAGAAATGAATGGAAGATAAAGGTTATTTAGTCAGGTTTATATAGGTTATAAGGTTTAATAGTTACACAGACTTAAGTCAGGATCATCTCCAGTGTCATTTCTAGTGATCAAGAGAGGGATATTATAAGTGGGTATTTATGTTACTGTTACAAAGGGAACATTATGCCCTGCTTTTAGGCAAAAAGTAAAACAATAGAGATCTTGAGCTTGCTCTCTTTGCTTCCTCAAAATAATCCTTTATGCCACAGTGGCTTATTTGGGATAGCATATTCTTATCCCCTTCACCTGAATTCTATGAACCACTCTGGTGGATTATTGAACCTGAAAGAGGGGACTGTGAGAGCACCTAAATTTGTAGTTGGGTGGGCCAGAGTGTGGTGGTCTGGGCATCCATTTGCAGCTGGCATCTGAAAGGGGGCAGTCTCCTGGGAGTGAGCCCATTAACCTGCAGGGTCTGATGCTAACTCCAGGCTGTTAGAATCAGACTCTAATTGTTGGATACCCAGGGTGGTGTCAGAAAGAACCAGAGAACCTATTAAGCTCAAAATGCCATAGATGAGATTCATGATCTCACACTCCTTCCATTCTTTTGCTTGGGGGTCACTGCCCCAGTGACTGTTACTGCCTCTAACAAGTGCTCATATCCAAGTCTGAAAGGCACTGCCACCCCCTCAACTCCCCCCATATGGGTCCATAAGCAGGTCACGCTGGTTTCACTCCAAAGTAGCTCTCAGATATGTCCACCCCACTACCATCACCACTACTCTTTTTTTTTTTTTTTTTAATGTTTTATTTATTTCCAGGAGAGAGAGAGACAGCGTGAGCAGGGGAGGGTCAGAGAGAGAGGGAGTCACAGACTCTGAAACAGGCTCCAGGCTCTGAGCTGGCAGTCAGCACAGAGCTCGACGCGGGGCTCGAACCCACGAAACACGAGATCACGACCTAACTGAAAGTCGGACGCTTAACTGACTAAGCCACCCAGGCGCCCCACCACTACTCTTGACTTAGGTATGATCACCCTTCACTTGAAAGACTCCTAGCTATCTCCTAATAGATTCACCTCTCATTGCCTCTATCCCCCACACTCTGCTCTTCATCCTGCTTCCAGACTGATCTTTCAAAACTTAAATCTGGTTAGTCACACCTATGATTCAAAATCCTTCAATGGTTTCTCATTGCGCAAGGCCCTGAGTAGCTGGCCCCTTCTCCCCCCTGTGCAGGCTTCTTTCAGTCTCTCCCTAGGCCTCACATTCCCTCCCACATGGGGCCCATACAAGTATGGGCTGAAATGTTCCCGGCAGGCCTCGCTGTTCACTGCCCCTCACCTTCCTCCAGGAGAACTCCCTGGCTAGGCTGCAACTTTCTTAGCATCTGCCAGAGTGGCTGAGTCTTTGTTTGCTTTTTGGTTAATGTTGGTCTTCTCCAATATACCGAGAGCTCCCTGAGAGTGAGGTCCTCTAACATTTTCTCCAAAAGGAAGAGGGAGTCGCTGGGTCCAGGGCCCTGGATGGCCCTGAGATCAATGCCTCCTTAAGTTCTACTCCTTAGGCACCTCACCTCCTGGAGTCTGGTCCTGCAGTGGGCACACAGCCCTGATGAGGGTAGTAGCCCAGAGGATCACCACAACATCAAAATCTCTTTGAAATCCTATTTTAATCTTCCAAATAATCTGTAAATTCTGTGTTTAACTCCACAAAATATAAATGTTTACCTACATGTAAAAATAACGTCTTCTTTCCCAAATCTTGGAGTTGCTCCAGGGAGACACACCGGGAGTATCAGGTGCCTCTTGTGAGGTCCCAAGTTGACATGCAATTATGGAATTCTATATTGGGCACCCAAGGACCTACTCACCTTAACAGGAGGATGGCAGAGCCCCTTCCCCATGAACACTACCCCCAGGCCTGGCTTCCTAGTGATGGGAGAAATCTTCCTTCCTAATTGCCGGGGTTCAAATCCCACCACACCTAGCTATAAGACCTGAGCAATGAAAACTCTTTCTATGCCTCTATGTCCCACTTGTAGAGTAGGGATGATGCTCTGAGAATAAGATCAGGCAAGGAGGGTCGATTCAAATCAGCACTGTTGATGGCTGGGGGGAGCTCAATCAAAGTTAGCGATTAATGTGACTCTTACCCTCTACTCTCCATCCCATACCTGCCCTCTCACCAAAATTCCCTAGGGGCTGGCCCCTTTAAATTCTGCCAGACCATAAGGTATTTTAGCTACTATGCCTCAGTTAAATGACTCGGGGAAGGTTGGCTTTATTATTTTTTTTTTCCTGAAATACTGCATCTATGTTTCTAGAATCCCTAGCTTTTTACACAAGTAACTCCACACATCCACACAGGTTTATACGTAGGTCCCAAAAATGCGGTCCTTGGAGCCCAGCATCAGCCTTACCTTGTTGGAAATCCTTTCAGCAACACGGAATCTGAAACTCCAGAATGGCCCCCAGAAATGTTTTTCCAACCCCTCCAGGTGACGCCGACGCGCGCTGATGTTTGCGAACCACTGACTTTGATCAAGGTAAAGTTAGCCTTAAAAACAGACAAAACCAAGAACAAAACCCCACTACCGAAGGTCCCCCCAGGGCCCAGGTTCCGCGTTCCCCGGCAGAGCCGCGGGTCGACCGCCTCGCAGCCCCAGCCCCTCGGGTCCCGGAGCGCGGCGGGCGGGACCGGGGGAGGAGCGGGGACGTGCTCCCGGGCTCCGCGCTAATGGCCTCCGGCAGCTCTCCGCACGGGGCCGCGTCCCCGCCCCGGACTCGGCCCCAGCCCCCGGGCGCCGCCACTGCGGGAGCGCCTAGGCCAGCGCGTCGGGCCCGGGCGGGCTGGAGAGCGGGACTGGAGCCCGGGCGCCCTGAAGTTTGGGAAGGAAGGAAGAGAAAGCGAGGGAGGCGCTCGGCCCTCTCCGTCCGCTCGCCCGCACGCGAGCTTCCTTAATTGCGCACTTGCCCCCGCGGACTTCCCGGGCCGCTGCGCACCCGGGAGGAGGGCGGACCAGTCCAGACCGTGGGCAACTTTATGCGCCGGAGGAAGGCAGTACGCACCCGAGTCCAAGAAAGCTGAGCGCCAGTTCCCCCGAGGAGCTCCGGAGGCAGGACCGGCGCGGGCCCCGCCGGGGTAGGCGGGAGGGAAAAGGGAGCCCCCAACTTCTGCAGGAGCCTCTGGCCAGCTTTCCCGCTCGCTCCGGCCCGCGCCGCCCAGCTTCCCTGTGTTCCCACGGCTCGCGCCTCCCCTCCCCGGGCCCTCCCCCGTCGCGGGCAGGTTCAATCCCCAGAGCCGGCCCCATGCCCGCGTCCTCCTCCCACTCCGCCCCGGGCAGCCGCCGCTAAAACCCGCGGCTACGCAGCGGGACTGTCTTCTCCGTTCCAGCCCGGGGCGAGCTCCGTGCGCTCTTGCAACGACTCAAGGTGTTAAGTCTCCAGGGGAGTTCTGAGCCGAGGAGAAGCGATCCGGACCCATCTCTGAGCCAGGCGGCGTCATGGAGCCCCAGGGGGCGCTAAGTTTGGAGAAACAGGGACCTGCGCTCTTTGGAGAGCCCCCGCCAGCTGAGGGGCTGCCTGCTCCGGGGGACGACGGCGGCGGCGCGTCGGACGCCCCGAGCCCCGACGCTGAGCCCTCGTCGGCGGAGTTAGAGGCAGCCCCGCAGGAGCCGGAGGAGGTGTTGGGGTGCCGCCGCCGCCTCCCGCGTTCCTTCTCCCTGCCCGCGGACCCGATCTTGCAAGCGGCCAAGCTACTGCGCCAGCGCCAGCAGCTTGCCCTGGGGCTCGGCCCGGAGGGCGGCGAGGGGCCCGAGGGCGTGCCGCACGGCCCCGGCAGCTGCTGCGCCAAGTGTAAGAAGCGGGTGCAGTTCGCGGACGCGCTGGGGCTGAGCCTGGCCAGCGTGAAGCACTTCAGCGAGGCGGAGGAGCCGCAGGTGCCGCCCGCCGTGCTCTCCCGCCTCCGCAGCTTCCCCATGCGCGCCCGAGACCTGGAGCAGCTTCCCGGCCTGCTGGCCGCGGCGGCGGCTGCCGCGCCCCTCACTGCGCCGCCTCCCCGGCTTCGGCCTCTTTTCGAGCTTCCCGGGCCGAGCGCCGCCGCGGAGCGACTGCGGCGGCAGCGCGTGTGCTTGGAGAGCGTGCAGTGCTCGGCGCCCTCGGGCGCGGAGGTGACGGGCTCCGGCCGGGTGCTGGGCTGCCCCGGGCCGAGAGCCGTGGCGGTGCGCTACACCTTCACCGAGTGGCGCTCCTTCCTGGACGTGCCGGCGGAGCTGCAGCCCGATCCGCCCGCGGAGGCGCCGTCGGGGGGGCCCGGGGACGCCAAGGAGGAGCCGGGCGCCGAGCGCTTCCACTTCTCGCTGTGCCTGCCCCCGGGCCTACAGCCCGAGGAGGGGGAGGACGCGGGCACGCCGGGCGCCGCGGTCCACTTTGCCGTGTGCTACCGCTGCGCCCAGGGAGAGTACTGGGACAATAACTCGGGGGCCAACTACACGCTGCGCTACGTGCGCCCTTCCGATGCACTCTGAGCCCAAGGCCGGGCCCCAGGCCGCGCGTCGCCCCAGAGCAACCGGGTGACCCGCGGGGACGTTCTACCGAGCACCATCCCCCGGGGAAGGAAAGGAGGGAGCGGCTCAATGGAAAACTCTCACCGGGACAGATTCGGCGAGAGAGCCTCGTGAGCCCGGGCCAAACACTGAAACGCCTCATCCGTTTTCGCCTGGCTTAGGCCTTCCTCCGCTGCTTCTGGAATTCTTGCCCTGCGTCAGAATGGGAAGAAGTTCTCAAGACTCTGAGCCATAGCTTCTTACAAGAAAAAGTCTCCTGACCCCTGTGCCCAGCCGTCAGATCTTGGGATTTGTTTAAAACTGTAGACAAAGTGTTTTAGCCGTTGCTGCTTGCTGGAGATGCCTGAGTCCCAGGGAAAGGACAGGCATCCCTCTGCATCACGTCAGGAGAATGCGCTGGACCGTGGGCGTGAACGGGAGCCTTCGCACAGGGGCCTGTTTCTCGGAGAAAACCGGGTGGGGTCTTGGCTAGACTGTCCTTTCTCTTAACTGGGATCTGGGAGATGTTTGCACAGACTGGACGTTACTTCCTTGGGCCTACGTGTACATATGTCCTTTAAAAAAGTAAAGGCCACTTACTTGCACACTCTTTTATGCTGTACTTTATATTTCACCTCCTGGGGAGTTTGGGAGGTCTTGAATGTCAGGTGATCTTCTTCAAATAGTTAAACAACAGTATTTTCAAGTTTCCCTTCTCTAGTTCTTCCTCTCTGATGTGGAAAAGCCCAGATTTCCCATTTTGGGCAAAAATATTTGGAACGTTTTGTAGGAGGGTTCTGTCCCCTGCCAAAATGAGGTGGTGGGTGAATTATAACACTAGAGTAGTCCCGTAGGCTTGTGTAAGCTGCAGTCACTGGCCCTCAACCCCTTTCATGTAGGCAGAGCACATAATAGCTGCTAGACTTCTCTGGGGACTTCTCTGGGCCTGTAGCAGCCAGAGAAGCTGGACTTTCCAGTGGTTGGGTGATGGGGGTGGTGGGGATGGACAGGTGTCTTCCTGTCTTTAGTTGGAGCCACAATGGGTAGTGATGACCTGATAGATGATGAAGCATGCCCAGCAAGTACATGCTGCTCAGAACCAGATGGGCAGTGTGCACACTGGCCTTCGTCACTCGGCTGCTGATGGCTGTGGATGCCAAGATAGAGTGGCTGTGCATGATCAGGGCAGGTAAGCATCCTGGGTGAGGATCTGATTTTTAACCACACCTTGGTTGGCCCTTGATAATTAATCTTTCTTTCGTTTTCACATTTTCCAGCGCATGACAAATACAATGAATTCATTTTGTGATGGTAATCTTTAAGGAAGCATGGTTTCTACTGTTGCTGTATAGAAACCAGGGTAGGCATACCACAGGCCATGAGTCTAATTCAGCCTGAAGCCCGTTCTTGTAAGGCCTGAGAGCTGAGAATGCTTTTCACATTTTTAAACAGCTGGAAAAACTCAAAAGAGGAGTACTGTTTTGTGACACATGAGCATTATATGGAATTCAAATTTCTTTGTCCATAAATAAAGTTTTATTGGAATACATCCATGCACATTCATTTACATATAATCTCTGACTGCTTTCCTGCTATAAGAGCAAAGTGAGTAGATACAACAAATACCATATTGCAAAAGGTAAAATGTTACCGTCTTTTATACAGAGTTTGCCAACTCCGGCTCTAGAGAAGTAGTATTTTTTAACAATAGATGCTGAGAGTTACACTTAAAAAAGCAGCTAAACTTTTAGTAAGGTTTGCCACTTGAAATTAACCTCTTGTGGGTAGAGGTAAAACTGTTAACATTATTTACAGTAATCTTGGTTAGAATAAACACTAAAACACCAACTGTACAATTATTACTATACAGGGGAGAAGAATCTACTTGTCCTCTTTCAGCTAAGAAATAATAATAAATCAGTATGACTGAAATATAACATCTATCTGAATTGACATCAAGCTATAGAAACTGCCAGGTACTTCCATGCCTCACAATAAGATGTCTTAAGCCGTAGAAATATTTAGTTTAACCTCTGCTGTGGAGACATCTCTTTTGACTACAGCAGTGCTTGCCAAAGATAATTGATCATGGGAAAATTTTTCAAATAATTATTAGTGGAAAGTCATCAGAAGTTAAATACAATTTACACTTGGAGTAAAGCAGACTAAAAAATAGTCATATCTTTGAAATGAATATTTAATTCACATACACTTATAAAAAACTTTAAAATCATAAAAATGAGCTATTTTCAGAATTACATCATTTTTCTGTTACTACATACAAAAATAATCAAGCTTTTTCATGCAATGTCCCACACTGAGCTCTGTATGCTATTTCTTTTTTAGAAGTGCATTATTGCATCAGAACACTTAGATAAATATATTTTATATTTTTCTTACGTGTCTATGAATACATTTTAGTTGAAAAGTATTGCTAGTGTATATGGCCTATAGCACAGTTTGAAATGCCAGTTCATATGATAATTATGCATTATTTTTGGATTGTTTGGGAGTCTTTAAAATTAAACAAGGATGAAATTAGGAGCCCAATATTATGATCAAAATAGGGATCCGTTGTTTGGTATTCTTCAAAAGGGTAACCCTTCTGGCCAACAGACACATGAAACGATGCTCAGCGTCCCTCATCATCAGGGAAATGCAGATCAAAACCACACTGAGACACCCTCTCATGCTGGTCAGAGTGGCTACAATGAACAAATCAGGAGACTATAGATACTGGTGAGGATGTGGAGAAATAGGCACCCTCCTACACTGTTGATGGGAATGTAAACTGGTGCAGCCCCTCTGGAAAAGAATGTGGAGGTTCCTCAAAAAGTTAACAATAGAACTCCCCTAGGACCCAGCAATGGTGCTGCTAGGAATTTACCCAAGGGATACAGGAGTGCTGATACATAGGGGCACATCTACCCCAATGTTCATAGCAGCACTCTCAACAATAGCCAAAACATGGAAAGAGCCTAAGTGTCCATTAACAGATGAATGGATCAAGAAGATGTGGTTTATCTATATAATGGAATAGTATATGGCAATGAGAAAGAATGAAATCTGACGATTTGTAGTAATGTGGATGGAACTTGAGGGTGTTATGCTGAGCGAAATAAGTCAGGCAGAGAAGGACAGATAACCATGTTTTCACTTATAGATGGATTAGGAGGAACTTAACGGAGGACCATGGGGGAGAAGAAAGGGAAAAATAGTGGAGGAGAGGGAGGGAGGCAAACCATGAGAGACTCTTGAATGCTGAGAACAAACAGGGCTGATGGGGGTGGGGGAGAGGGGAAGGGGGGTGATGGGCATAGAGAAGGGCACTCATTGGGATGAGCACTGGGTGTTATATGGAAACCCATTTGACAATAAACTATGAAAGAAAAAAATAAAAATAAATAAATACAAACAAAAAACAGAAAAACATAAAAAAGGATAACCCTTCAAATCTGGAATAAAATAAGAAATGGATTCTAAAGAGGTATGAAGAGCAAATTTTCTATTTAAAAAAATTAACTTTGAAAAGTTTGGAGTACATTTTGGAATTCAAGCAATTAATCTTAAAAGTACTTCATAATATAATGAAAGTGAAACCTGGCTTTTAGGTAAGGAAATCTGGCTCTGCTGTCTCACGAATCTTGGAGAATAGCTTTTTTAAGGTTCAGAACCTTGTAAAAGACTTGAAACAGCCCAGTCTTTCTGCATATGGTTACAGCCTTTCAAAGTATTAAGCAATTTTCTAAATGTCAATTTTATAAAGTGCAAACTTTTCATTGTAGACTGATAATGAACATTTTGTAAAGAAACATAAGGGAGTTAAATAGATTTTGTTTTTGAAAAGGTAGTTTCAAAGGAAGGAGCAATACTGGCCAGACCAAAAAAGTTTTTAAGAGTGCATTTCCAGAATTGAATGAAAACTCACACACTCATTCCCCAAAGCTAAATTCCAACAATTCAGTTGTCAGGTTCTTTTACAGGAATATTCACCTCAACTTGAGTAAGAGGGTGTGTGTGTGTGTGTGTCATTCTAGTTGAAATGCTGAAATGTAATAGCTGAAATATCTTACCTGGCTCTAATGATCAAAACTCAGTTCTGCTCAGCTCACTTAATGATGCTGAACTCTACCAGAGAGATTCCAGCTTCTTCTTTATGGGCAAGTGGGTCCATGCATCACTGGGTAAGGGAATGTTGAATGAATTGTGTGTCCTTATCTGAAGTCTCAGAAGCAGTGGCTGGAAAATGTAGCAGTCTATAAGGTACAGAGTTTCCCCTTAAAGTCCCCAGGTTGATGGAGCAGGGTGATCAGGACGTTCCAAGACTTCCCTCAGGGAGGCAAGGATCCTGCTCCGGAGAAGTACTGGATCAGGATCCTGGAAGCCCAGCAAGCTCTGGGGGACGCTGCCCTGCCTCTGTTCATGGGCAGGAGGGCCCTAGACTTCCTGTAGCATATGGGGGTGGAGCAGTTGTCATCCACGAACCTTAGCTGCAGGGCCAGAGGAACACTGTCCTGTTGGACACTCAGTGGGTTTTCCACCTGACCTCACCCTCACCTGCTGCACCTTTCCTTCTGCCCTGACCTGGGCTGAGGGCTTCCTCGGTGACGCTGTGGCTCATGAGCCTGTTCAAATGTCTGCTTGCTCGCAGCAAAGCAGAGACTCTGCTCATTTCATTTTTGGAGTTGTAGCATTGGACTATACATTGTTTCACGAGTTCCCCATCTTGCTGCTTTCTAGCACAGCAGGTGCGCATATTTGAGCATGCCAAGTTTTTTCATTTCCTGACTCAGTCGTGGTTCTTAAGAGCGTGTGGCTTGAAGCCACTTGGAGTATTGTGATCTGTGTCGCATGCGCTTTGTCAGGAGTGCAAGGAACAGCCTTCAAGAGGAAATGGGATGCTTTCCTTTTTCGTGGCATTGTGGAACTGAATCAAATGTGTATTTTTGATTCAGGCAGTGGAGCACAGGTTTGTGCGTTGAAGACAGCACTGTGACGTGTGGCAACTTAATAAGCAAACTCTGACAAGCAGTGAGCTGTTTGCAGTCCAGGCTTTGTGCGGCCAATCCCCACGATGCCAGGGCCAGGACAGTCTTCCAGAGATCAGGGATGTGCTTGTGGTAGCCACACAGGGGCAAAGGGCTTGGAGCAGGGTGGAACCTGACAGCCTGGGCTAGGCCAGGTGACCCCTGCCTTCCTTCTCCTGAGCAGTCCTGGCCCATCCTGCAGATCAGTAGGTGGGTGCCCGAGGCCTGCTGGGAGAGGCTGACCCAGCTCTCTCTTCCTGACTCCATAATAGACACATTCCACTAGGTAAACTGCTGTGTTTTCATGTTCCTCCCTGGACTCCCTGTAGCAGATCTACAGAGACTACCAGAAGACAGCCCTAAATGGTCCTTTAATCCTCCAAGGACTGGTTGTTGTAATGCTAAATACTTTAACTTAAGGCTCATTAGGATTTAAACTTTTTTGAATCTTTTGGGTAGGCTTTGTATTTGCATTTTGTGGAGTCTAGTTCTTTGACCTTGACCATCTCTGAGTGGACAAATTTTGGCAAGGAGAGAACAGAGTCACATTTCAGCTAAATATTGATTTTTGAGATGGTGAAGATCAAGGGCTTACGTTTAAGATGCCCTGGTGAG